CCGCTCATGCACTTTTGTGGTGGTGTCTGTGCCTGCAATTAAGATACACCAAAACAAGTAAACAGGTTAACAAGGGGTTAGTTTAAAAGCCAAACAACCTCAGTATGTGGGACACATATTATAATCCCACTTTATACCATAATACCTTTGTTTTGTCTTTTGGCTGCTGGAATGAAAACTCTGTCACTTAAACTGACATCTTTATGAAATTCTGTATTTGACTTGCAGGGTGTACAGCAGGCATCTGTAATCATTATGCTACCATGCAATCAGCCTGGTATCCATGATGACCACCATGGCAACGGTTGTCGAGGGGAGAACATTTTCAGCACACCCACATGGTACAAATAAAAAAGGCTTCCCACTCGAGACAGATCTACTGTACTAAATGCACATTATGTAATACATACTGGATTCAATATGGATACAGTACTTGTACTGCCAAGCCATCGTTATTACACTTACAGTAACAAAGAGGCAGTAAAAATGTTTTTCCAAAAATGTACTATTGATGTTTTTGTTTCATGGAGTGTCCCTGGAGCTGTTTCACCCCCATCCACTGTTAGTTTTAGTTAAGTAGATCCTTCATTTCCTTTGTGGCCTTAATTTGACAGTAGTCTCTATCAACAGGGCTCAAACATAGAGATTTTAAATAGGCACACTACCATGTTGTGTACTTTATTGTGTCAGCACACCACATACTCAAATTCTGCTTAAAATTTGCAAGTGGAATTTAAGATAGCACTTAACTGCTCAGAAAATCCTTATTTCAGTAGTCCAGCCATCATCCTGCCAACTGATGCTTCAGGGCTGCTATTAGACTCTATATTTCCTCCTGGGTTTTACCTCTTTGAACTTATTTTATTGGTATTGGTATAACTGAACTGCTCTTACAATAATACTAGTGAGTCTATAGAGCTTTTGTAATTTCCTTGTTGCCACCTACGACTATAATTGCACCCCAGCTGTGAGAGCAGGGCAGACAGATCTCTCTTTGAACTGTCTCTCCCAAGGTCCCTCATGTGCTGAGGCTTTGTGAGTTTTCTTTGTCTTTTTAGAGAGATTATACTTGGTTCAGAATGAAGGACTTTTTGGTTCTTCTTACCATTGCTAACTCTGAGAGACGAGGCAGTCCAAGTAACTTCAAAACAGTGCTGATTTATTCAAAGGATCACAGGTAAAATTAACATTACACGCTCAGGTATCTTGCACCTCCAAACTGCTCGCAGGCAGATGTAAGATGAAAGACCCTGAACCCACCAGGCCTATACATTATATCCCCTCGGTTGGGCTAGCCCCATACTACACAGAAACGTCAACCGAGACGTCTCTGTTACCAGCTTTGCAGCTGGCCATAGCAGTAGTCAAAACATGAAGCAAATCAATGTGTGTGTGTGTCTGTTGATTAAGTGGTGTGTAGCTAAAAACATTCTCACGACCTCTAGTAACATGTCGTGACTTAAACATGAGAACATATTATGGCTAAAGCTACAGTTATACACGTTGTAATAATAATATTAAACATCCTGTCTGCTGACAGTCATCAACTCTTCTCTCAGGGCTTACAGCACTCAGCGCCTTGTTCCTGTGCTGCACTGTCTGCTTATCACAATAAATTTACCCTCGTGGTGGAGGAGTTTCAGTTTATATGTAAAAGCATTCAGAAAAAATGTGTTTATCATGTATGGATCTGGTGAACTAAGATAGTACCGCAACTACTAGTACCGTAGCAAACACCTAGCTACTCTAGGTGTTTGCTACGGTACTGCAAATATTTTTCTCTAGAAATTAAATTAATTTATATCTAAATTTTGTTGTATTTATGTTACAATGAAAGGTAATTTAAAGTACTAACATGAAAAATAAAGAAGATCTGACTGAGTTTCCTTCAGGTTTTCCTAGTCACACTGAGCCTGATGATTCACATTCTTGTGTTGGCTGCAGTTAACACAGGAAGGGGCAAAGGGAGCTAAAACAGCAGAAACATTCCTCACAACAAGGCTAATTTTTTTTCTTTACACAACCTAAGACATAAATAAAACTGTCCTGTCAGAATGGACTTTAAGGAATGTCAGTTAAATATGTCAGAGAGAAAGAGAGGAAAGCAAAGACAAGGCAATTCACAGGAGTCACAGTCTCCTTTTAAACAATGCAAATAGATGAAGATTAGGATTTTTAGGTTTTATTTGAACACGCTGAGGATGTTATAAATAAGATTCAAAGTAAGTGTTAAAAAATATGGTAAAAACATTTATCAGTAGCTACATGTTCTCCCCTTTACATTCTATTCCACTCCCTAGTCACTCCCCAGCTGAACCCGTTGGACCTGTCTGCAACTGGATTACAAAGTGCGTGTCACAGTGATTTCACTGTAGGTTGAGGAGGAAGAGGTAGGAAGGATTTCTAGTCAAACTATATAAAGCCAAAATTGTTATTTGGTTTATTGTCACTTTTATTTTAATCACAGGTCACTGAGGACAAGGAGGCCATGGAGGAAGACAGCACTCAGGACATCGAGTCTCTCATTGAGGACATGGACTACATCCCAGGTCACTTTCACCTGGATCTCAATTTCAACTGTGATCTTACTGTGCCTGTGCAGCTGCGGCACAGGGACATTTATCTTAGACAGGAGAGCCTACAAGGTGAGCTAGAGGCTGAAGTTGGATATCTACAGTACGCTGTCCGAAATCTTCAGGGTGTGCTGGCTTCTCACCTTGAACAGCTGGACACAGCAGAGGAAATATTTAGGTGATGATACACTAACATCTGAATACATGGTCAGGGACCACCTGCCATGCCTTCACGGACCATCAGGGGTCCGGGGGCCACTGGGTGAAAACCCCTGGTCTGCAGACGCATTCTCAGCCTTGTGAGGCTGTATGTGATTTGTGCTTTGAGCTAAATGCTAACATCACCTTATCACAAAGCTAGCATGCTAATGCTTAAGCAGATGTAGGATTTACTATGTTTACCATCTTAATTAGCCATGTTAGCATGATAAGATTTGCTAAATAGCTGAGGATGACAATAGATGAACATGTGTGCCAGATTTCATGGCAGTCCGTCAAGTGGCTGCCAGGACATTTCACTAAAACCAAAAAATGTCAACCTGGGCACAAACCTTTTCTAACCCCTTTATGTCTGTGTCTTTTGGCCTTTCAGGAGTATTTGTAAAGAAAACCCTGGGAACCTCAATGCCTGGGCCAACCTGGGCTACGTTTATGACAAGTTGGGGAGAGAGCTGGATGCAGGGGAGTGTGTGGAGAAAGTGTCCCAGCTGATGGGTGTAGATGCTGGAGAGGCCTCTCAGGAAGAGTCCAGGCTACTGGCTGCACGCTGCCTGGCTGAGCAGGCCTACGTCTATCCATACGACGTGGAACTGCACAGTGAGGACGACCTGAGAGAGAGGCTAATGGCAGCATTGACATTGTACAACAAAGCTTTGGGCTATGGGGGACAGCTGGTGAGATGTAAACACACATATTGTAATGCTTAGAATAAAGCTCTGGTAAACCATTTAGAAGCAAAACAGATGTTCTGTGAAGAGACCACAAGCATCTTTTTGTGGCTGTGAACATTCCAGCATTTTATTTGTTGGTATTTCAACCATGCAGTATTACTAATAATTTGATATGACTGTACTCATTGCTCTTCTATGACTCATTTTCCTGTTAAACATTTACTGACATCAGAGGATGTATAAAATCGATCTTCAATATGAAACTTGCAGTAACTTGCAAATCAAGTTAATTTGCTTATATCCCAAAGGTGCCATTTTGTCTTCATCTGAGGGTAAAAGCAAATCCCCACTATTTCTGCACAGTACTGTAAATGTGATGTTAATCTTTGTCACTAAAATCATCATGTTTTTCAGATACCAATGGAGGAGAAACGAAGCTGGTATTTTAAAATGGCAACCATTTACATAAGGTACAAAACTGACATCAAAAGATTTTGACAAATCACCTCCACATTACAGTCTTTAATGTTTTATGTTTACCAAGATGTCCTCTCTGTGCAGACTGGACGACATAGTAAAGACCAAAGAGGACTCAGAATACTTCAGACTCTCTCACTACAATAAGGGACTGAAACTTCTCAAAGAAACACTTGAATCTGAGAAAAAACAATACAAAGGTGAACATGGCATATGGTTTCTGTATGAATACATTTAGAGGTAGAATATGTATCACAACACATCTGGTGATATTTGACGTAGACAGAGGTAAAAGAAGTATTCAGATCCAGTGCTTAAGTAATGCTATAGTACAGCAAAATGTAACAGTCTTCGATTAAAAGAGTATAAAAGTCACCGCAATGGCTTACAAAAAGAGGAAATGGATGAGTAATGGAAACAGGTGGTATGAATATGAAACAAGGAAGAAGGGTAGTGACTGAGGTGCGGTTTTGCTCCTGAACTTCAGATTAAAATTTCCATTGAAAATGATCATTCTGATATCTGTCTTCAGCTCTCACCTGGTGTTATGTTGGCATTCTCTTGGAAAGAAAGGAAGAGTTCACCACTGTGCCCATGTCTGTACATGACTGCGGCTTCTCGGCCTCAGAGCCTCTATCCTGCTATGCAACAGTAAGTTACCCCAAGCATCTTTCATCAAGTGTCAGACAAGCTAGGAGAGAAAAATGAGGACTATTTTATCTAGACCTGCTCCAGACGTCACTCAATCAAAAAACATATTCTTCTTGTTGATACCTTTCAGTGAACATTGCACTGTGTCCTCCCTTGACAACTCTTTCAAATGGAAATACTTAAAATTACAGACTTGTGCTCCACAGTAACATATGTGTCTGTGCCTTCAGGCCATAAACTTGGCCAGTGATGATGCATTCATCCTGAACCTTCTGGCCAAGGTCTTCTTTCTGCTGGGCAAGCATGAGATGGCCACAGGGATCTGCAACATGGCCCTCAATGTGCTGCCAGATCCAGAGCTGAACTGGCAGGCCTACTGCACTCGAGCCAAGGTAGTGCAATTGAAGTCAGTGACAAAACCAAGCTTGAAAAACTCAAACAATTACAATGTGAATCACCAATACTAGAAGAATTCTTTAAATCTAAAGTTTGATTAAATGTTAACACTGTCTATTACAAATATGTGTGTATATATATTTTTTTAGATCAATGTGATGCTCTACATGAGGGACCTGGAGAAGGCAAAACATGGCCAAGGTGGCCTTCCAGACCGACAAAGCCTAACTGAGGCCAGAAAGGACTTAGACACGGTGCTCACTGTACGTCCATGTCTGAGGACTCACCTGGAGATGGCACAGGTAAAGACAAAAAAACTACTAATGAGCAATAGAGATGGTTTTTCAACAGCAGCAGCCATTCATATTTATGTGTTCCCCTTTAGGTGTGCTACTACATGGGGGTAGATGCACTCCAGCAGAGCCTTTTGGTAGATGAGGGTGCAGTGAACAGTGCATTGGTGAGTTTATCTCATGCCCTGCAGTTTAAGCTGGGTGACAGCTTGCCAGACCTCCACGTGCTCAGAGGAATAGAATTAGAAAGGCCAGGAAGCACAGACACCACAGCTCTGCGCTGCCTCCTACAGGCCCTCCTGGCTCTGTTCATGCAGAATGGCCCTGACCCCACCCCCGCCATCACTCAGCTTGAGACATGGGTGCAAAAGGCAGAGAAGAGGTACCCTGAGGACACTGTGAAGGAAGAGCTGAGGTGTCTTTACAGGACTCACACAGCAGAGGTTACAGAGTTATCCAAGGCTCTGATCAGCACAGGCCGACTGGATTTAGTGAGGAGACTACTGGAAACAGTGGTGCCTAAACAGCTGGCTGAGAGGAAACTGAGTGCAAGATCTTTCTCCATTTCTTCATCACATGAGTAGATACACAGACCAAACCAGACCGGCCATGCAGTAATTCATTAACTTCTTGCCAGTATTTCACATATAAAAATGAACAGCAGGGGTGCACTGTACTTAAGCCATCTTCAGTCAAACTGGGTATGACTTCTCTGTCAATAACTTTTTTTTAAGTAGAAGAAGAAGGTAAAGTTTTTTTTTTTTGTTTTTGTTTTTTTCTTACCAGGAATGAACATGTTCAGTTACAGTGTTACAGTATAGGATTAGGTTTTTAAGCTTTCTTCATGATTAAAGTTTTAACTTTAACATAAGATGGTTTCAGTGTTTGTTGAGGAGAGATTGGCTGGATGTATTCACACTGAAATGGCCCAGTAATATCTGAGTCATGTTACACTACCTACCTCTGCCTGAGTAGGACAGTTTAATGCTCTACCACCAGAGCCCAGCCAATGGCAGTATACTTTATGTTGCTAGGTTTTATGAGGTTCCTGTTTTTGGTGCAAAATGTGATTCGGTTACAAACCTGTATGTAAAAAAATATAAAGTGGCTGTGAATAAAAGTCAAAACTTTGAGTCACTCATTAAATAATGTGTGGTCTTAATCTACAGACAGGTGTCCAGGTAAATGAAAATCTTTTTAAGCTTTGGCTTTTGCTCTCAGTCCAAATGAACACCAGATGGAGCAGTGTGTTAGACAGTACTTTCCACACTATAATCAAAACACCAAATAAGGCAGTTTCTCTTGAAAGAATGATATTTCTTGCTCACAAGCTCCCTGGATAAGTAAAGGTTAAATGAAAAAAATTTAACAAGATAAGAGTCATCACGTAAAAGAGCAGGTATGAGTACACATGCACACTGAAACTTTGACATTGTATTCAGTTTGTTCAGATAATATTTTGTGGCAGTGATTTGTAAAGGTTTTGAAAATCACAGACAAATTAAATTCTCCTGAAGAAAGCATCAGATGGGAAAACATGACTACATATCATTCTAGACAGAAATTACAAATCGTGCAAAAGGTTGTTGAATTTGGAAGATTAGTTAAGAATACACAGTAACCCAAATATCAACATTAAAATTTTATAAAAGCTGCTGTAGGTAATTCACTCATCAGACAGAACATTAATATTTACAGTATGTTCACACTTATATAGATATTTTGACAAGATTTAAGTGTTTCTGTATTTATGCATGCACCAACTAAAGCTAAAATGCTGCCTTGCATTTACAACTGATGGTCTGAGCAGACAGGAACACTAATGAGATTTCATGCCAAAATGAACACGACAATGGCTTTGGAACTATGTTATATTTCTACCTGCGCCATAATTTTTCATGTTTTTACAGAGAAATCGTTGTTGAACACCAGATTATCCTGATTAAAATATCACACTTCTATTTATTGCACCATTCCTTTAAAGCTGGCACTAAAAAAACGGTATGCTGCTAAAACCAATTAGACTTATTGATTAACGTGAGACATTATAAACAATGACTGAGGAATTGCAATATTAGTAAAAACAGCATAATTTGTCCATTGCTTTTCTGCAGGGTGTTATGGTTTGGTGTCTTGCTTCCTGGGTTCTGGTGCTGCCCTTGCCTTGCCTGCACAGTTTCAGGCAATTTTGGAGAAAACCGTTGTCTCCCATTATGCGACATATTTAGCCCTGCCATAACAGCATCCTGTGGGATACCTCTGTGTGTGCCTCCTGCAGGCTTAGCTATGCGTGTTGCCATTCGACACAGATATAATATCAAGGTATAACACATGCCTGACAGTTTCCTTCAAAGTTGTCATAGATAAACCATGAACCACTGTTACAAGCTGCTAAATATAATTAGACTTACTGATTAACATGAGACATTAAACAATGCCTGAAGATTCATATTAATAAAAAAAAAAATTCCTAATTTGCATTGTTTCCCTGTAGGGTTCTCTCTGTAAGGACATCTGTGTGTCCTGTTTCTGTGAGTGGTGCTCCTGGTGTCAGATGCATCGGGAGTTAAAACAACGCGGTCAAAACTCCACTGCCATTGTCAACGTGCCACCTGCTCGTGGGATGTAGGCAGCCGGAAACCCCTATCCTGTTGGCTTTGTGAGCTAGTAGGAGGTTGTGACTTCATGCTGAGCTTTATAGCTTCTCACTGGCCTTGGTCTTGTAATTTGATTTAGCTGAGCTCAATCTGTGGTGTGACCATGTGGACCTGACTAAGAATTTTGTCAGTTGACTCAGATTTGACTGTCAGAAAATCAACTGGCATGAATTTCAGTATTTTTCAACCACATCAACTTGGGTATTAAAAATGCAAAAGTGTCACATATTTCTGGGTATTGAAAAATCAAGCCTTTGATCAAGACTTAAATTGTGGCTTATTTGAATTGCTGATATATAATGTCGGGCTGCCGTATGGATTTATCGGTATAATAAGACAGGCAGCCCACTTGTATTTTTGCTGAAATTAAAAGTCCCGTTCAGATGGATGCATGTCACAGAAACAATCAATAAATGGCTTTGTGTTACACTTTAACAGACATAGGCAAAGAAACTGGACGATCATATTAGAAAAACCTAACAACTGCATTGCCACTGTTAAAGTTTTTGTCTTTTTCTCCTCGTTCTGGCCAGATATTTGCTAAATAGTGTCAGCAGTCAGTTTCTCGGTGTCATGGTTGAAGTGACCCCCAATTACTGCTTGCCACACAAAAATGGTGAGAAGACAACAAAATACAGCAGGGGACTGTGGCAGACTTCTATTGTAATGTTCAAAAAAAGAAACAAAGGTTTGAGTAGAAGATACTCAGCCAATTGATAGGTCTCTCGTCTGATGACTTTCACAAGGCAACCCTAGAGAATGTCATCCCCCTTTGGACCTTAGAACAGAGCTAACCTTTATTTTGCACTGAGGTGGAAAATTGTCATTGGCTGACCAAAATCACTAATTCCCTTGTTCCTTTTGTATCGCTCCCTGACCGATCTATGTTTTTTTTGTTTTTCTTAGGCCTGTTTGTATCTTACCATCAGGTCGAGCATCTGGTTGCCTCTTTTGCTCCTTGTCCCTTTAGTTATATTAAACTGCTTTAACACGAAGGCTCTTGTCCTGGTCTGCATTTTGGGTCCTTCCTGAGCCTGAATCCTAACATTCTGTAAATATGACACAGTTGGCCAGAAAGGCTCATTTTCATCTGTAGTCCATGAATACATATAAAATAAAATGCAA